ACTACTACTACTACTACTGCTGCTCTCATTACTAGTATTCTTATTATTAATATACTTTCATACCTTCAGCCGGTCTATAGCAAAGATGGTCTGGGCCAACGGCGCCAAGGCGATAGTCTCATGGAGCTCCTCGTCTGTCATTCCCTTGAGCTCCTTTTTAAACTTGGCCTTGCCGGAGTCGAAAGCCACAAAAACAAAAGCTGCACCAGACTGCTCTCCACGTAAACTGCCCAGGGCACTCTGGTGTCAGCTGCCATCTGAGCCCCCTCACGTGAGCATATCCGCCATGCGAGACTCGCTGGGCAATCTTTGGCTCCCGGACATCCTTGCGCGCACCAGGCACAGTGCTCGAGCTTAGCGAACTGTGAGATCAAGAAGACAACCTGAAAGCACGCCCTGAACAAAGTTTGTTCTCTTCATGTCCCCTCCTGCCATGGTGCTGTCACGAAGGCCTGAATGCAAAACAGGGGAAGGACCGCTCTGGTGAGACAGCAGCCAGCCATGCACCACTAGCGGATTCTTGCAACAACATACTGAGCTATGTCTTGAACTTTATGCAGTGGATTTTGGCTCAAGTCTTCATAAGCCAAAGCCAAAACATCATACGAATGGCAGCCTGCACAGGCGACGCCACATAGCCCGCTGCAAACAGCCTTGAGCACAGAACAATCGAATTCAGGTACTCTGCAAAACGCAAATGACGCTATCTCACGACTGTAGACAATGCCAAGGTCCCAGCAAGAGCCCTGTCCCGCAGGCCGCAGTGGTGAGCATGCGAAGCCTCAAGCAACTCTGGAAGGCCTCTTCTTGCAGCTTGGATTCGGCCGACAGAAACGCACCTTTTCCGGACAGGTCCAGTTGGGCAGTGCTCAGTCGCTGAAATGTTCAAGGAACTCAGAAGTTCAGAAGCCAGTGGGGCTTCAAAGAAGCACGAAGTGCAAATAGCTCTCAGTATTAAATGGCATCAACTCTGAAGAGTCGACTGCGATTGGATGTGCAGTACGTGGTTCAAAACCCAGGAATCAGCGTTGGCAACCTCTGTCCTGTAATCTTCCATCCTAGCATGGTACCATATGGTACCCAAGGCATGATCCGCTTCCTACAGAATTCACAAGGACCAAGAGGATGTCGCACAGTTCTCAGGAAACAGAAACGGCATCAGGCATATGCCGCTCCAGGTGCTGCTGCACACTTCGCAGTGTCTGCATCCTTAAGCACAGAACGTGTACGAGTCTTTGATGACCAAAATCCTCATGACATGAGCCATAGTCTAAACTCCTAGTATCCTCTTTAATATCCCTATAATAGTCCCCTATATAATCCCCCGTGTAACCCCCCTGTATGGAGTTTGGATTATGGCTCACATGAGGGCTGAGGACCACGCTGTTCCGGAGTAAGCAAATCTCCAGGTCCTGTCCTTGGATCAGCCCTGGCTACCAAGCAGGCCACATGTTTCCTGCATGCTCTGCTCATCTACGCTTTGCGAAACACACTATCCCATGCATCCCACGCCACCTCGTAAAGTCGTCCTTGACCTCCACGTTCAGCTTGATCTCTGGCTGCGTGTCTGGCATTTCCTTGCAGATCCAGCAAGGATTCTCTGGAAAAACTATGCACAACGCAAATCGGCGGGTATGCGTCCAGTCTAGACTCATTGCTTGAAAAGAACACCTGCAGCAGCCACCCAGAAGCTTACAACATCTGCATGCTGCCAAGATGCCACGGGAGGATACCTGAAGCGTTTTGGATCGTGAATTTTGCGAGAACATGTTGCAGCGATGTTGCTGGACGCTTGCTGCCAGGCTGCTTCTCAAAGAACCTCTGCAGGTCCTTCAACCTGCTCATGGGCCTGCGAGAGATGCAGCGAAACGAACACAAAACAAAACACAAGAGTTAGTGTGGTATCGTGTGGTCTCAGTAGAAGCCATGTGAGAACCACAGCACCGCAGCCCCTCGCAAAGGATAGAAACAGGGCTCTCAACACTACAAGAGGGAAAGAGGCCCCCTCGCATGCCCAGGTCTGAGAAATCGTTAGGATCATTGGGCCGGGAAAAATCATTCCTAGGTTCTTTAATGCTGAGGCGAACGAGATTTTACATTTGCGTGCTTCACGCTCTTTGTCAACCCACGAGGGTTAAAGCTAGCACTTCCAATAGAAACAAAGGCTGCGCACGTCTTCTGAACCTCTCGCCCCTGCACTCAACGCTCTTTTGCGAGCAGCCAGCTTTGAAGAAAGCTGGCCACCAGAAGGGGGCTTGTAATTGAGAACAGAAGCCTTCGACGGCTGCCATTAGTGGTCATTAGTGCGTCTGCTTGTCAACGCCGTTCTTTGCAGGTATTAGTTTGGCACAGGTTTCAGAGGAGATGTGCACGCAAGGAAAAGTCCCAGAAAATGCGCAGGATGTTGCCGCTGAAAGGCGATATGGATGAAACGTGGCCATGCCTTCAAGAGCAAAGACTGGATCCGATCAAATGCAGAGGAGGTGACATGAATGAGATGGCAGTAGCATACAGTTAGAGTGGCCAGGAGCAGCTGCAAAGATTTGCAACAACTGAAAAACTCGAATGAATTTCAACTTGGGATATTGTGCAGCTGGCTTTTAACCCATGGTTGGCAAAAGCACCGAAGATTGCCACGGCGTAACTATTCAGATCAATGCAAATTGTAAATGGCCAGGCTTAATAATCTCCCAATTTGCAAACACTGGGGATGCTTGGTGGATAGTGCCACCAACCACAGCGGTCACCACCAAGCAGACACAGCGTTTGCATGTAATTGTAGACTGCCGGATACCAACTCTTGAGACATGGACCCTGAGTAGCAGCTATACCTATCAGTGCCACCGTAGTGTTTGGAAAGTTGGTTTCCAACAAGGAAGCTGAGGCCATCGCTCTGTTTTCCACACATCTGGTGAAAGACAACAGGTGACCTTGACCTTGGATTGGAATTGGACTAACGGAAACTACTATAGTATATTGGGGTAGTATTGGGATAATGGAAAAGAAAATGGAAGCTACTATAATGGGTTTATGAACTATAGTTTAGCTTTCTGAGATGTTTTGACCTGTAGTGTTCGCGGGTCCTCACCCGACAACAACTTGAATCCTGACGCATGTCGTACTTGAGTCGACACATTCTTGTTTGAGCTGGCCTCGGTGGGTTTCTCAGGTGCGCATGATTCATTCTGGCAAGTCACCTCCAACCAGCATTCTTCTGGCGCAGCAGCCCCTCCGTTACGAACCTGAACAGGGATGGGAGCTGAAGGGCAGAAGTCCAAATGAGGTGCTTGTATGCCTTCGAGCCATGTGCCATACATGGCAGCTTTACATCATGTGGTCTTAGAATGAGGCTACGAGCCTTGCCCTATCGTGAAAGCATGTGAAAGCCTTGCCCGACGAAGAAGACGCTGAGACGGAAGCCTGGGCAGAGAGCGAGAGATACCAAGAAAAAATGCTGCGGAACAGCAGAGAGCTAGGAGCCAAAGTGTCAGAGGCTGTGCCCAGTGCCCAGTTAGGCCAGGCAACTATTGGCTCCTTTCGGATCTTGGACTCAGTCCGGTTCACTGCCGTCTTTGCAGGCTCCTTTCGACCAGCTGGGGAAAACAGAAACTTCAGGTGTAGTCATGAAGCTCAGGTCCTTCTCCTTTCGGATGACCTGACAGCTCAAGTGTCAGTGCTGTGCATTGGCCTGACAACTTCTCAGTGCCCCAATCCTGTCCGATACCCAGTGCTGACAGTTGATGATCACGTCGCTAGTGCAGTCACATCAGCCCAATGCCTGTTGGGTTCGCGCAGGAGGTGCCGGTGGAGGAGGGACGGCCATGGTCTTTACCTGCGGCACAGGCCTTAGCTGCGGTCGGACGGCACGACATGGTCTGCACGTCTGGCAAGACTCAGGACATGCAGAAAAACTGGTAGGAGCCACGAACCCCAACGCAGACACACGACACGTCATTCGCTTGGATTAAGCGCGTCACGCAAGACTGGATACGCAGAACACACGACGAAAACACTCCACTCTCCGTTGTCCATTCTCCGCTCTCCACTCTCCAGACAATTCACTCTCCATTCCAGTTTTCAATCTACTTTCCACTCTCCACCTCCCCCCTTTCCACTCCGGACACGCAGGTCCAGAAGCGATAACAGTTACGAGGATCGCGACCCTGACACGCCCCATCCCTGTGACTGCTGACACCTTTTGACACTCCACAAAAAGGCCAGGCGCCAAAACACCCCAAAACCGCTTGCGGCCACGAGGATGGCGACTCCCAGGGCCCCCATCCCGGTGACTGCTGACACTTTTGACTCATGACGAAGACGGTAGGATGCAAAGGCGACAACAGGTACGAGGAGGGCAACCCCATCCCTGTGAGTCTTAACACTCTTGACACGCAAGGAAGACACGAGCGTCCAAAAGCGGCGACAGCTACAGAGATGGAGACCCTGTGGGTGTCCAGCCGCAGCCCGAGTGTCGAACGCTTGCAAAGGCTTGCAGATGCTTAGACGCAATCCCAACCATATTTCGTTTGTTCACCTCCTGGACCTTGGACCCCAACACTTTAAGTATCTTTCAATGTTAAACCGGAGCCCGTCTGCGGAGCGTTCAGGAAAACAAAGCACCTGCCGCTAATGCTGCTAAGATGCGGGGCTGATGGCCATGCGCCCTGCCCACTGTGCATTGATGAGACTGGGCCGTTCAGAGGCCGCAGTCCCGCATCAACCTGAAGCCATAGTTCTCAGCTCAGATGACACTGGTCGCCAACATGCCTTGGGCATCATCGTCGGTCGCATCTGCAACTTGGAAGGATCCTGAACATCGACAAGAAGTACCGGGCAGAAGCTGTCATGAAACATCCAGAGCACGTTTGCGTGCTGATCAGATAGAGAGTAGTCCTGCACCATTGAATCCCACGTCATGGGATGCGGAGGAGGCGGTGGTGGAATTTTAGCGTAAGCACCAGCGCTGTACATGACCTCGGCTTCACAACATGGACTCCACTTGCCAGCTTCCGCCTTGGCAGTTTTTGCAGAACATGTTGCACGAATCCGCATGCAGCAACCATATTTCTAAGTCCATGGAGGCAGAGCTTAATCATAGCGTATGTGTGTTCACTCGTCCTGGGCAGAAGCCTCTGGGTAGCAATAACCCAGCCAAGTCACAGACTCCTGTGACATGTCCTGCAAGAGAGAAACGAATGCTTGTCACTTCATGGATTTTGGCAGATCAGGACCAGACTGCGTGTCCTTCATCCGGCCCATCTGAACAGGCATTGATTCATCCGGGATGCTGGCCGATTTCGGCATCTCCTCACGAGAACAGAACAAGTTGGCATCAAGCATCTAGCCAGCAACGATGCCAGCATGCAAAACAAATTTGCACGACTTGGCAGTTTCCCTAAATAGGGGGACCCTAATAGACGCCAAATACTAATCCTTATTATGGGCCCTCCTAAAAAACAGGCCCCTAATTTTGGGAACCCCCACTTGCTTCGATGGAGAACCAACAGGCCTGCGTCTGCCCCATACGAGCCCGCAAAAGTTGCCGCCTGCAAGGTGCTGGTGCTACATGGGGCAAATGCCGAGGAGACCTGACTACAGAAAGCTGCAGCCCAGTTGCTGCATCTTATAGGATGCCTGGGGAGAAAAGGTGCTGAATGGCGAAAGGTGGCATACAGAAGAAAGAGACCTGGCCCTAGCATTTGGTACGAGAAGCCATCTCATAGGTCGAAAAATGGCACTGTTGAATAGCTTCTGCCAAGCTGTGCTGCGTGCCTTGGCTGCACGACTGTGCTGCTACTATAGCATTATAGGGTATATATTGGGATAATGGAAAAAATGGAAACTACTCTTATAGGGTATGTATTAGGGTTCTAATAGGGTATATATTGGGGTATAGTATGGAAAATCTAATGGAAACTACTTTAGTATTATGAGGATGTGGGTATACTTGCAGCTACCAATGAAAGCTTCTCCTAGTGCAGGAAAGACAGACTTGCTTGATATGGCCAGGGCACTGTAGTGCAGCTGGAGCTGGCAATCTGAAACGTACCTCACAGCCAAAATACTCTACTGTTTACTTGAATAGTGGCCCATCTCCCCTGTAGCATTGCAGCTAGGCGCTTCTCGTTCTTGGTGTGAGCTCTTCGACGGGCAGCTGCATCACCAAACTGTAAAAATGCCTGTGGCAGTCCTTGGATGCTTGCTTGTCACAACGAATTGGAAAGTGGGCGCAACAAGGAACTGATGTCGTCATATCCCACTAATATCACACATCAGTCTTGCTGGCATGGAGTTTACTACAGCAGCATGCGCTGAGGAAGCGGTGCTGCCACGAGGCGGCCGGAGCCATCGGACTTCGGAAAATGCAGCTTGACCTATGAACACTATGACCAGCGCCTGCCTGAAAACTGGAATCTCATGTTGCTAGATGTCTCCACCTTTCTCCAACTTGTCCTTCTTTCCAGCTGAGACGGCCCAAGCTCCGCACCAGATCGCAGCCCTCGAACTCTTCGAGAAGGGCTTGCGGAGTCACGTTCTCAGGGCGTGGACTCTACAACTATGCCGAAGTTGACCCCCTTGCATTAGAGTGTCTATGCAGGAGCTGATCAATATCACAACTTTTCAATCCACCAATACTGCTTAGAAATGACCAGGCCTGGCTAATGCGGCACTTCATAAAATAGTCCGTACCTTGGCACGAAGGTATAATCCCCCTTAAGAAGATAGGATATGGGGTATATGGGGATCTTTTTTTAATATACCCAAAGCCATACTCTATCTTCTTAAGGGGAGCTATATAAGCTTTCATAAATCAATGACCACCGAAACGTACATCCGATTGGCTTCAGCGGCATACTAAGATGCAACACAATCCACCTATGACCTAGAACGTCTGCACCGGATTTAGTTAGCTTCAGGGCCTCAAGGTCTCCTGGGGCTACATCCAAATCTCTGCACAGAAGCTACACTGCCGAATAGGATTCGATCACCTTCACCTTACAACTTGCTCTGTCTTGGCAGCTCAGGCGGCTCGGGTTCGCAGGCAAGCATTTCTGCCATCGGCCGGTGGTTGTAAGCCTGGGACTCTGAAGAGCCACTTGTTAATGGCTAGTGTGGGCTTTTTCAACTGCTATATCCAGCTCGAATTTCTACCAAGCAACATGTTCAGGCTATTGTTCATCTCGTCATGGATCCGCTTCTTGCTTGCTCGGCTGCACTTCCCTGCAGAGATTCACGGCTCGGTCACTTACAGAGGAAAACACATCCAGACTCACGGAGGCCCTTGAGGCCTGCAAGATTGTGCTTCAGGTCAAACGGATCTTCCACATACCACTGATCTTCGTTGATAGGAAGACCCCTGGGCACCACTAGATTGGCAAGTAGCATTTGAAGTACAAGCAAAGACAAGGCTGCTCTCATCTTTGCTTGCAACGAGGCGGCAGAGAGTACTTGTCGACATACTGCCCAGGCTTCTGCCTCACGAACTCCATGTTTGCAGACCCTGCAAATGCACTAGAAACTGTGAAGAAAAATCTGAGCATGCGGCAAGCGCATACAAACTGCATGCTGCCGCCAATTAAACTCTCGCGTATAGAAGTGGAAGAAGTGGGCCAGAAGCTCACCTTGCAGGAGTGATAACACTTGCAGCTGCACGTGTATCTCTAACTCGCAGCCACACTCGGTTCTGAGAGATGCGCCGATCGACATCTCGTTCTCCGACTTCGGGATGGAATCAACCTGACCATGTCAAATCTTGGATGCTGCCTGCTTCAAGCGTTTCGAGCGACACCCAACCAACACCAGGAGCCGGGCATCAAAGAAGAATTTCGTCTCCCAAATATCTTCGGCGCCCCACTTTCCTTGGAGACGTCAGTTGAGGAACTCAACTGTGAACTTCCATGAGCTTGTTGGTCAATTGCTACAAGGCCACGGTCTGACACAGGAACTGGATCGCAGTCCATGGCTTGCAGGTTTGGTACCTGATGGCTCACCGCGTTCAAACGTCTCGCCCTGCATGAGGTGCCAAGAAGGTGCTAGTGCAGCCACAGGTTGCAACAGGCGGCTGCACGTTCTGGAGGAAGAAAACCACAAGCAGCATGTACGCATAGCCTGAACCACATGCAACATGAGACACAATTTGATTCATGAACCAAGAGCTGGCTCAATAGCATCTAGTCCTGTTTTCAAGGCTTCAATTGTTGTCATTATTGGTATCATTCTTCTTACTATAGGTATGATCATGAATATTTGTGTTCTTTCGTTATTTGCATTGTCATTCTTGTTGTCATTAGTTCGGCCAAGGGGCTGTTGAGGCACCCATCCGCCGTGCCCACCAGCTCGTGTTTCTTCGCCCACTCCTTCACCACACGACCAAGTTGCAGAACTCGATGATCGTACTTGCAATACCTTAAAGCAGCAAGGAATACTGGGTTCCCTTGATAGGGGCTACGTAGGGGTTACATGGGGGTTCTACAGGGGTCATGTAGGGCTCAGGGTTGAGGCCTCGAGGTTATGTAGGTGCTGTACAGAAGGCTATACAGACGGCAGATAGGAAATCTCACTTCAGTTTTCATAATCGAGAATCAAATTGAGAAGAAAACACAATTTCTGTCTTTCCAACCTTGGAGCCTGGTCTTTTGGGTCTCTGCCTGAAACCAGGGTCCTGCCATTCGCTCTCTGATGGTTTTTGTTTTATGAAGACTTGGAAAATAACCCTAAGACGAAGACCCCAGGGCTACTGGCTACCTACTGAACTTCAGCAGCATGGCAGAGGCCAGGGTGCGTGTTCAGCAGCAGGGAATTTCTGACCCCCAGCTCGTTGTTGATACAAAAATCGACCTGCTATGGTGTTACGCAGCATTGTCTAACTGACAACATTGCCCAGCCTCCATGTTGTCCTTACGATCAGTGAGCTTGAGAATGGGCACACTTGCCTCACCAGAAAAATGCGAAGCTGGTATGGAAAAATGAATCATCCATGTGGGTTCCATCACCTATGGCCTGGAAGATCTTCGTGATGTTGTCAAAGCCAAGACCGTCCAGACGGTCGGCAAATTTCCTGAATGGGCTACATGCGAGTACTTCTATAACCAGCCCAGCCTGAACAACTGGGTTGCTGTTAAGGAAGTTATTTCAAGTTACAATGTTGGGAAACCCTATTATTTACTATATTTTCCCATTATGGTAACTTAATCTAAGTTCCTTGACAGCAACCCACACCAAGGTGGTGGTGAGTCAAAGCAAGCTCCAGAGCAAAGGAATGGAATCCTGCGCTCTGCGACATGACTATTGCTACCGCATATGTGGCTGCTCTGCCTCGAGAAGCACATATCAAGCCAGTCCCCGCCACAACCCAAAAAAGGGGCTACATCAATGTAAACATGAGGGGGAGGGCTGCCTCCCAATCTCTGCTGTCAGGTGTCTGCAGGATGGTGATGGCGCTCTCTTCTACACTTCCCACGAACACCACATCCAGATCTGACGTTCCGGTCTTGAAACCGTTCGAAAAGGAACCGAACCTGATGACCGGCAGTCCGGCAGCGCTTAGAAAAAGTCCATGTATGGCCCATCCCATGCTAGGCAGGTAGGCAGGCAGCATGTGAACTGATCCATTAAGTCCCAGCTGTCCTTGGGTTGAGCAAAAACTCACATCACATAGCTCCTGAGGCACAAATGCTGAACGTCTCAGTGGTAGCCAAGACTCGAGCAAGTCCATTCAAGGTCAAATTTATCCTTTTTGCGGATTTCTCGCGCTGACCCGTGCGAGCACCGGCCCGCAAAAAGTCGTGAAGATCCTGCGCCATCAGGGTGGTGGGTAACATTGTTTGAGAGATCAATCCTGAATCAGGGCTATCGCCTTTACGAAAAGAACCACCGTAGCTAAAGCTCCTTCAGAAGAGGAACTGAGCGTGGCCACTTGGCACTCAGAAGCCCATCACATGTGTTGATTGCTTTATCCCCTGATAAAAAGCACTGGACAGTCCTGATTCAGTAGGACCAAAGCCTGTCAAGGACAGTATTGGCGTAAAGGACATGGATGCTTCAGTCTTTCTACAATCTTCAGGGGCTGCCATGCAGGCTATCTGTCACACCAGCCTGTTCCGGAATATGGACGGACATCCCGACCCTTGGCAGTATGAGCTTGACAGTTCGTGGACCTTTGTCGAGAAATACAACGTCATGCCTTGCAGCCAGGATTCCAAACACTTGTCGGTAGATACGCCAAGACTTGACGAAAAACTCAGTTCCTCAGCCAGGCAGAAGGAACCAGTGCACCAGCTTCACGCAATCAAGCCAGTGGTCCAAGGCGCAGAAAGATTGTGAAATGAATGAAGTACCAGGGCCTGAACCAACCACACGTCCACATGCTCAGCTGCTTTCTGCATGTTTCCCCATATGTAATATTCTGGGGCGCCCACTGAAAGCCAATCAACGCGAAGCGCCAAAAGCTGCGCTGGCAATCAATGGATATCCTTGGCAACCCTTTCTGAGACAAATTCCAAGTACAATGGCCAAGAGAGACGAGGTCAAGGGCCAACTGCTACTGTTAACCTTGGTAGGGTCCTTTCTACTGTCAAACAGTAGCACCTGTACGATGGAAAGATCTCAAGGGTGGACGGGAAACCGTAATCAGAATTATGGTTGGCTTCAACTGTCAGAGCGGCCGAGTTTCTAACTGTCAGGAAATTAATTGGGCCACGGAATCTGTGGCTACTGGATAAAGCTCACGTTGGTGTGCAACGTCTCGAGCCTACATCTCATCTGGAGGCAACTTCTGAAAACCTGATTCAAGATGCCCCGCTGGAAGCAATCACAGGACTGGCACAACATGCAACACCGGACTTGCGGCACACCAAGCAAAAGCATGTGCAACGCCCAGGCAGCAGTGGGCCCTGGCATTGCGTCCGTTGTGGAGCGCCCCGCTTGCCGCCTGAGACATCAATGATGCTTGGCCATGGTGTCCGAAAAATCAAACTGGTATCAGCTTGGCGTTGAAGCGCGTAAGACATTTGCGCATAACAATGGGGGCCTATTTATGGCCTTGCAAAAGAACAACTACTGGCTACCAAGGTGCGGGCTCCGAAGGCCGTCTGGGTCTGGTTGGATTGGGCCAAAATTTTGCAGAGCCAGAAAATTTGCAAAACAAGTATACTCGCAGATCCATCTGATGACAAACATCCTGATGTTCTGCAACTAAAAAATGGTTGATGAGCTTCGTCATTTGGGTAGAAGCCTTGAACCATCAAATGAGACATTTCGAATCATAGTACCGACAATTGGGGTGAGATGCCCGAGGCGCCTGCAATATTGCCCCACATTGGTTTCCCTGATCGGTTTGGCCCATTTTGTAAAAACAAATTGTGTGCATCAATTTTGCAAGTATTGCGTTTTTGAAAACAATAAGGGAACCGTTGGACTCCTGCCAATTGTAAATGTTCGAAGCAATAAATGACCCGGTTGAGCCTAGCCATCCATAAAACGGGAAAGTTCAACCCATGGTAACATGACAAAACCAATCCTCTCCAATGCCGTTCCATGTCTATCCTCAAGCGATGCTACGACCAGTCCGAATAGAAACCAACAATGGGTCTAGAACGGCCCGCACACTCTCTGAATGAGTCACACCCAGCCATTCGCAATGGATCCTTGTGGTTGATGGACCCATGCCAATACCTTACACCACGCCTTGGAGAAAACCGCAACCACCAACAGTGCATGGAACATGATCATCATGGGTGGATGGTTTGTGCATCTTGTTCCCAAATCTCAACAGAAACTGGAGGACAAATGGACCTCAGGATGTCACCAAAAACAGAAGCCCTACATGGAGCACTGCGAAATCTTCCCCGAACACAACATGCAAAGCCAGAAACCCAAAGAGGCGTCCAAGCAGTGAAGCTTCTGCATCATCTCCATAGTACACATATGCCTGATGTCAAGACAATTTGGTCAACAAGCAAGACCCCGACCCCTCCACCCACTGCAAAAACGTTCATGCTGACTTTTTGCGCGCTACATGTTCCGCTGTCCAAGTCACTTGCATTCTTTGCCAACAAGCGCAATTGTTTCGAGCCGCTTCGAGGTGGGTAGGCAAAGGACTTGTGTATAATGACGTTGATGCGGCCTCTTGTTTGAAACAATAATGCTATCGCGAGTTTCCGCAGCTCAAACGCAAAAGACTTTCTGGGCAGGTACAAGGATTGCACCGTTCTTTGCCGGGCATGTGCGGAGATGCTCATTTGAAAAAAAAATCGTGTAAAAAACTGCCCTCCACAGAACGATTGTTTTTTCGCACCTGAACGTAGCATGCGACGGGTCTTGGTCCAGAACGTGCTAGCAAGGCGGCGAGGACGCCAGTTATTCCAATTGTGCGGCCGTCCTTGAATGAGGCATCCGTGAACACACACGAGCAGGTATCCAGAGGCCTGGGCACCCGTCTAGGCCTAGGCAAAACGGCCCGCACCCGCATCTTCAAGTACTTGAGCATCGTGGCAAGGCTCGAGGTAAGTGCTCATGAAAAAGCACGCAATGAATGTGTTCAGACAAACCTCTCAAGGCAAACTGACCAGTTTCACCCATGATCTGTGACTCAGCGAAGGCTAGCCGCCCTCTCAAAGTCGACCCATCCCCACGAGCGATAACTCCCTTTGCAATGACGCCACCTATGCTTGCTTCAAGATCTCAGCGTCTCTTGTTCGTGTTGTTGATGGTGATCACACTTTGATCAGTCTGGCTCAAATCAATCCGCACACCCAAAGCAGTCACATTCTCTGAAAACTCGTGGTCCTTCGCCCCTTCTTGATCATACTTCCACTCTAGTAGGCCAAACAACATGTGGATGCGCATGTGGGGGGTATTGCTTGCAAGCTGATGCCCACTGGCTGCAACAAAGGCGTCATAACAGCAGCTACTGGGGATGACCAGACAGCGATTCGCAATCCACTGCAGGCAATAACTTTGCTGTTGATGCAGTTGTCGGCCAGCAACCCTGCGTCAGTGTGCAGAAGCGTTTGGCTTGGCTGTGTAAATGGAGCACGAGAGCTGCTGAGATAGCAGCTAGCAGCTAGCAGCTAGCCCAGCCCGCTATGGGAAGTCAAAGATTCGGCCATGTGTGGCATCCTTAGTTGCAAACGTCTTCAACTGCTTGATGAGATCATCAGAGCTGAGGGTTATATATGATGATGTGAAGCTTGCGCATGACATTAAGAAGGATTTCGACCTTGTCGGGAGGGCGCCCGCGTCGCATGTATTGCCTGGCAAGTTGGTACTTGCTACGTTGGAGGTTAGTGATCTGCAGAATTGTGCCAGCAGAGTTCAAGAAGCAGTGAGAGCGACGCCTGGGTCGTGCAGGTGTGACCAGCAGGAAGAAAGGCTTTGGGCGAAGACAGGGGTCATTTGAATGGTCCACCCTGCCTTCAGGAAGTAGTACTACAGTAGTACCTTCACATCGATTTCCTTTTGCAACAGGGCGAGATGCTGCGCCCTATCGATGATTACAGCCGAAGTGGCGTTAACTCTTGTTCACCCCAGTTGAGCAACCAACGGTGGACAAAATCGATGTCGTTGCGAACATGTTTGCCAAGCATGCGTGATGCCTATTTGACAAAGGCAGAGACAGCAAGCTTCCGGCGAGATCGCACGGTCTGACTGCGGCGTACCGCCAACTGTGTGTGTGAGCTTGGAATTTCGCCCATTCGACATCATAGCCGTGTTCAACCCGCGCACTAAGAAAATTATGTGGTTTAGGTTCAGGCAGATCTCCACTCCTTTCGGCAGCCGTCCTATCCGGCAACGCCCCGCAAAGACCGCGTGGACGGGTGGATGGCCCCTCACAGGCTTCCCTGACAAACTCAGCCTCGGAATCATAAACACCAAACCTGTAGGTCACTGTAGGTACAAGCATCAACACTGGAACCCCCGTCCGAGGGCAGCAACCCAGGATTGCCAGGCACAGACTCATCAGGCTCAGATTTTCGCGAGTGGAAACAAGCACATCAACCTTCTGGCCACGCATTGGAAAACCAAGGCCCACCTACTCCACTCGTAGGGGCAAACATGCTCAAGTCGCCCAAGGGTAAAACCTACGAGGGCTATCCTGGACCCAACCCAATCGCAGGCGCAACGCAGACGGGACGCATGCAACGCAACAAGATTGCTGGCCACATCAAGAAGTCGTCCGGTCTTGGACACACCATCACAAATCCTTGCGTCACTGCAAAAATTGTCCTCTAGCCAGATCTGACCCCCACTGAACTCTGTCACAGCCTAATAATAATGGGATGTCGGCATCCCTGCGAGGCGACGTAAGGATGTTGGCAAACAGCGCCACTGTCGCAAATGTGGCATCTGGAAACACACTCCTGAGGTACGCTGCACACGTGAAGCACGGAAACCATGTAGCCTTGGATCTGACCCCGGTACTGCCACCTGTCTCAAAAGCACCTGCAGGCCAGGACTTCTGACGTGCATCTGTGAGCGTGATGGCAGTTCTGGCAAGATCCTCACACGGGAGCAAGTCAAGCAAGCTGCAGATTTGGTCAGACATTAGGCCGGTCGCTTCCTCAAGCAGCGACTGCGAAAAGAGGTCCGCGCTAGCTCCCGCAGCAGCTCCTTCTCGCAGGCGGCGGCTCCGGGAGACTCGAGCGCACGCGATGCTTCGAACCTTAGAGGAAAGTCAAGGACAGGCGTCACTTCTTCAGCCGCAGGCGCGGGAACTAAAGCAGGCGGGGACCTATAGGCTCGGGGCAAAATCCGAACCAATCTAATCACCTGGCTCAAAGTCGAAGGGGGAGTTACCCTTGAG